ACTCTCCAGTGATTGCCCATTTTATCGGATATAAAAGCCAACATCTTCATGAACTGCCGCCTTCGTGCTTCTTTGATGTTATACCTATATGCCCTCCATCGTTTCGCTCCTGCCCACACGACCTCGTTGCTGGTTTTCAAACATACTAGGAATAGTCCTGCCTTGACAACTTTGTTTTGGTTGTTGTCATAATGCAAAGAATGATCTTACTCCTAGAAGAACATGGCTAATTCCCTCAAGTCTTTTGAAATTTTCTTAAATATCATCTTAAAATTGCAACCCATGTGTATTATGCGTTTTGTGTAAATGTCTATCTTCTCCACTGGAATATAAGGACAATGGGGGCATTGATATTCTTTTCTTGAGGGCATTGATATTCTTTTCTTGAGGGCATTGATATTTCATAAGCACCTAGAATAATGGTACATGAAACATGGTAGCAGCTCAGTAAATATTTGCTGGATAAATGAATTATAAGAGTTGGAATAGTCAGAGTATCGTTGAAAGATACAACTTTCCTCTAGTTCTTTAATGTGTCCTCTTCCTCCCCACCCCCACTGTCATGACCCCAGTTCTACCTTACAAATCCGGCTAGACCAGAGGGTGTACACTGGTAAAGATAGGAACTGGGAACACAAGGAATCCAGGATGGATAAAGCCCTCATGCCCGATATTGAGAGGCATGCGCCTGTATTTGGAATGGCCAAAAGCCTTTATGTGACAGAGAATTTTGCAAATATTCTATATAAGAAGTGCTAAGCACCTGTATTTATTTCCTCTTTCTTCTTCCTCCTATAGCTCTAAAAAAAGAAAAGCTAAATCCTCATTTATTTTTTTACATACAATTAAAATATAAATCGCTTCTGGTAAATTTAATTTTATCTAAAATGAAATGACCTTGTTGAACTTGCTAACTCTTCCCTTAAAATGTGCTCTATTTAAACTGTTGCCAGTAATACAATATAAAATGTTAATGACCGAAATAGCTTTATAACCAGTGTCGTAATGGAGAAGTATAAAAATGAGAAAATCAAGACAGAATTGAGAAGAATGCAAGTGAATAGAGTGGCTCAACCCTCTCGGGACTTGCATGTGGCATTGTGTGTATTTCAAAAGTTTCCGTTGAAATAACAGATGCTGCTGATGAAGTTGGGAATAGTAACTTCATCTGCGGCTGGATCAGTTGCTTATTAGAAATGAGAAGATCCCCAAGGGGAAATCTGGTATCGTGGAGTTAGGAAAGGATATGACACGAATATCTGGCAGCTTCACACTTGCGATCTTTTATCTGTAAACATTTGCTAGGTACGGGCATGGTGGTCTATAAATATGCAATTCTCTTATAATTTTTATGGTTCTTGTGCGTTCCAAATACTCTTATTCAGTAATGATGTTTGTTGGTTTGTTTTTTCCAAAGGTTCTTTTTAGTTTCCAGAGTTATACCACAATTCCAAGTTGTACTTAGCCGTGCAGAACTGTCTTGTTGAACTTTCACTGTATTGTGATGATCCATTAAATTGCTTAGCAGATGCATTATAGAATGGATTACCTCCACTCACTTACAGCCAGCCTCAGGAGCTGGCTAGGGTGTGTCCTTGATGGAGAGTACTCGACTGGGGTTCAGATAACCACGAGTCAGTCACACAGCGTCATGCCTTGACTGCCTGGGATGGAAGGCCTTGGACCACTCCTATAAATTCTTCTGTCTAACATGATACATGAGTCCTAATCATGTTCCTCTCCAGTTTCTGTAGTCCCACCTGTAACTGTGGTGTATCGATCTACCCATGTGATGTATTAATCACAAGTTTGTGACAGATTTCCTTTGTTCCATGCCTATTTAAGTAGCTGCCTGTCTATAAATCCTCATGTGCCATCCCTCATCTGGATGATGAACCTACCGTATATACTCGATTATAAGCCGGCCCGAACATCAGCTGAGGGACCTAATTTTATCACAAAAACTGCATTAAAAATGTGCTGGAAAACTCGGCTTATAATGAATAAATGTACTCCTAAAAAAATAAGTTGTCCATTAGTATGCATATGACTTTTCCTTTTTTGCCCTATTTCTGTTCTTTTGTTTGCTACTGCTATTTTAATGTGGTTTCAGTCCATAAGGAGCTTATGATATAATGAAGGAAATAAAATACATACCTCTAATACCAAGTTTAAAAATACTCAGTAGCCTAATAGCTACAGATGTTTTTCAAGACTTAAGATTGAGGGAGAAAATCCTTTACCGGGAAGAAATCAATTCATTCGGCAAATATTTATTGTGTATACTGTGTACCTAAGTTAACTAAGAAGAAGCAGTGGAATAAACTTGGGCTGCTAACCAAGAGTGCAGCAGTTTGAACGCACCGGCCTCTCTGTAGGAGAAAGATTAGATGATCTGTTCTCTTACCTATTTATCACAGGGAAGTTCTACTCTGTGCTGTAAGGGTCACTGTGAGTCAGAATTGACTTGATGGCATAGCTTTTATTTCAACACCAAAGTAGTTGTGCTTTGGTGTTTGGGAGATAAAAAGATAGAAATGATGCCGGGATCATCTCTGCTTTTGAAGAGAGATCAGGGAAAGCTTCAGTAGAAGAGAGAATACGTGAATAGGAACTTGAAAGCCAAGTCTGAGTCCGGGGAAGATACACAAACACATAACAACAAGGGTATAAAATTTGGTCGGATTCCTTTAACCAAGCTCTAAAAAGGAAAACATGACCATTCCCAATTTTCAGAAACCCACTACCATCAAGTCACCTGCCCCTGTGAGTTTCAGAGACTGCAACCCTTTACAGAAGTGGAAAGCCTCGTCTTTCTCCCAAGGAGCTGGCTGGTGGTTCCTAACTGCTGGCCCCTACCACCAAAGCGCCTTTGATTTAATGCAAATAAAGAGTTACCAGTTACTGCCTGTGATCACAACTCTGACTTCTTAAAAGAATCATAGTTCCTGAATATCCGAAAGACTTTGGCTATATAGCTGCTGAGCAGGGCTGTTATAGCTAACATTTTACATTCTGTCATTGGACAGTAGATGCTTGGAAGATTAACGCCTCTGAACCTTCTGGGAAGTTGGCTTAAAGGAAGGCAACCGGTTCTGGTGGCAAAGGCCTTAGACAATTAAGTATTTGATCCCCTGTAATGAAAGAAATATTGATAGACTCACATGTGCCGGTGATGTCATTTAATGTAACCCATTATTATACAGACCCAGAGAAGGTCAGTAAGTTGCCCAATAGCACACAGTAAATGAAAAGCAGAGTTCAGACTAGAATCCAGATTTTTGTTGTCTCATACCTAGAATTTAGTACTAGAGGAAAATTGGCTGTGTGTGGAAGTTCAGATGAGTCCCATTAGACAATGCTTTCATTGGGTTGGGATTCGGAGTTTAAAAGCAATCAGTCTAAGTAAAAGAGCAAGAGGTCAGCTGTCATTACAGTAAACCAAAAGTGGAGCCTTAGGACAGGGCCACAAGTTGATTCCTGTGTTCCTGGTGGTACCTTTGCTTCTTCATGTACCACTTGAGAAGCACTAACTTCATCTGTAATTGAAATCTATTGTGTGCACTTTTCAGTGGGTTTTCTAGAGTAAGAATATACGTTAGCTTGTTCATTTATTAGTATAGAACTTAGAATAGTGCTGGATACTGTAGGAATGGTAAAACAGTCTAAAAGTTTATCTTTCTCTTTCAAGTCTTCTCCCACCCACCAGCTCTATCCACCCCCACTCCTCTGTTCATTTGCAAATGGAGTGGGGGGAGTGCAGTAACACTGTGTATTTCATTTTGTTAAGACTATAATTTCTAGTGGTCATTTTGAATATTCTAATGCTGAAGGACACTGAGAAAGAAAAGGAACCTTTGAAAGTTACAGCAAAGCATGCTCCTTACTGGATTCTTGGAATGAAGAGTACTAATGATGTGGATGGTGATGGTGAGGGAATAGAGGCTGCTGCTGCTTAATGTATCTCCACTTCAAGCCTCACAGAGAAAATCAGCAGCAGCACAGCATCTCCGCTTTCCTATAGATTGGTCTTTTTGTAAAACAGCCTCTTGGTTTTCTTAGTAAAAGTATTTTATTTATCTCTAGACACTGACTCCTGGTAGGCCTGGGGAAATGTAGATTACAACATGTCTCTTTAAAACTCCTTTCAAAGAAACAAGTCAAGTTCAATTTGTGTTTTTGAGATAGGAGGAAGGAGGAAATCTTAACTTTGCTTTGGGAGGGAAAAGAAAACCTCAGTCCTTTGTTGATACCTTAGCTTCTGCATTAGTCATAGGTCCCTTCCTCCTTGCCATGGATGGACCTAAGGAATAGCAGCCACTGGCACTTTGGTAAAAGGGCAGTGCAAAGAGAAAACAAGTGATACAGGAAAATGGTATGCCTTTTCTTACCCCTCTAGGTTTTTACAGTTGTATTTTTAGCTCAATGATTTCTGGATATTCTGTTCCTTTTTTCGTCATTTCTGATGTTATGAAATGCAGTGCTAGCTTTCTAGCCTGAATAATGAGAAAGCACTCAAAGGTCAATTTTTCAAAAACTGTTAGAATGGAAGTCAATCACAATGGAAAGGTAGTAGACACAGTTAATACTTGCTTAAAAAAACAACACACATTTAGTATAGCTCCTCTAATAGTATTTTGAGTACACCGGGCAGATAATTCTCTTCCTATATCACAGGCAAGAAAACGGAGGCTCTTAGAGGTTAACTGATTTGTTTAGTTTCATGCAACTAATTATGGATCTAAGATACAAGCTTAAGATATCCAGATTTTTCTCTATCCCTTGGGGTTCAATTTGAGTACTACCAAAGTGAGTAATCAATTTATACATGCTTTAAAGGTAGCAAAATTGGTTAACATGGATCTGTGATACCAAGCATTACAATTAAAATCATGATATATTTAGCCAGTTTTTTAATTAGTATTTAATGTTTACATGCAACTGAAATGACAGTGTTCAGACATTTTAGTTAATTAAATAGCTCTCCATTTGTTTTGTAGCAGAAGATGGTGTAAACTGGTTCATCGGTGACAAAGACGTTGAGGTAAAATCAAATTATTTTTGAAATTCTGAGTAATAGTTTAATAATTTCCCTTGACTCATATTTTCCTTTTATGATAATTTTTCAAAGATTAATAAAGTTCTGCTTTTGTTTTTTAATAGTAGTGATCCAAGTGGCCAATAAGAAAGAGTTTGATTTTATTATATAGGTGATTTAACTTTTCAGAAGCTTGGCTCAGTCTTGATTAGTGCCAGTCCATTAATATAGCTGTAACGATTAGTCGTCTTTCCCTTCTGTTTGTGCTCTGCCATGATGAGTCCTCTTCAGCCCATATGGCCTGGTACCACTCAAGACCAACACCGGAAATAACTGCTTCTTCAGTGGAAGGAAATGGTTAGTCTATATTTAGGATGTGGCAGGTGTTTGTCTTTGTCAATTATTAGCCTTAATTGTGGCAGATGCTAGAAAAGAATGAATAATTTTATGATTTGATGCAATAAAAGTTTCAAAAGAGAACTGGAATGTATCTCCTGGGGGGTCTACTTGGCCAGTCCATCACAGTAACAGTAAAGGATTGAATTCTGCCAAAAGATAAGAGCATAATTGGGACCTACATGTCCCTTTTAAGCTATTCCTTATGATATGCTTTGTTAATAGTCTATTATGAGATAATAAATCTGGGCTAGAACATGAACCAGCTAGAATTGGGTCACTATGTAGGAAAGCAGATTATTTAAAAAAAAAAACCTCAGATAGAAGGAGAGTATCTTCTTGTAAGTTATAATCCAGTTTTGTAGGCAGTTACTTCAAGCTGCTTAAAAGAAGTAATGTATTCAGTATGTAGGGTTTTACAGTCAACAGTGGGCAAAACCACGAAAATACTGTCTCCTGAAAAAACTTAAACAGGTTTCTCATTCTTAAAAATATGGTATTTAGTCAGAGGTAGAAGTCATTCTTATCTTTGACTCCGAGTTACACCAGAATGTCTAAATGATGTAGATCGGTACCCTTCCGAAAGCAGAGCCATAAGTAGGAGAGAAAAGGAGGGGAGCCGGAGGAAAAGAAGTATAAAAGAACGTGGAGGTGGAACAGACAGCACAAAGGAGTAAAGGTATCTTCATGGCACCTCCTTTTAATGCGACACCACCTTTTAGCCCCGGTGGTGTGCTGTGCTACAGGTTGGGGTGGTAACCTCAGGTCAGCAGCTTTCTGCTCCTGGAAAGTGTGACAGCTTCAGAAACCCACGAAGGCAGGTCTGCTCTGACTGTAAGATCACTAATAGTCAGAATTGGCTCAATGGCAGTGAGGTGTTTTGGGTTTGTTTTGTTTTGTTTTGGAGTATGCATGTGTGAAATTGAAGAGAGAGTGGCTATTAATTCTCTTGCCCTATCAGGGTAATGTGATGTTTGATGTTTATTTTTCTCATTGGCCTTCTATAGACCAGATTACATGGATTGTTTTTTTTTAAGAGTGTAAATAAATGTTTTTCTTAAGTCTTGATTTTTTTTCCACCCTTTAGGCCCAGATATGTAATAATAGATCATCTGGAAGATGGACCCAACGATATTATTCAGCCAACAAAAACGTCACCTGTAGGAACTGTGATAAATGTGGGCATTTGTCAAAAAACTGCCCCCTTCCACAAGTATGTGAAATATGTAATGTTTGTTTCCATATTGTAAAATCATAAGTTTTCAGTATTGGAATCCTATGACATTAGAATTCAAATCTTTGCTAATGTACATGTTAAATTTCATGTAGCTCACAGTCCATGGTAGTAGAAATAGACAATAAACTTGGAGTCAAAGAAACCTGGGATCAATTTTAGCTTCCCAGTGCAAGTTATATGATCTTCTGTGCTTATGTTTTCTTGTATGATAAAAGATTGGATCTATGATTTCGGAGGCCTCTTTCATTTCTAAAACTTCTCCTTTATGAGACTTTTTCTCTTATTGAGAGAAAAGGGGGTTTATACAATGTTATTAGTATAAATTATGTTAAGCAGATACATTAACTCTTGGAACCAACAGGGAACCAAAGCTCTTAGACGTTGCCTGACACCTAATAAGCTCTTCAGAAGCATTCCTTCCTTGACCTACAAACGTCTGCAGCAGCTCTTGTGTTTCCTCTTCGTCTCTGCTTCTCCGGACACAGCGGCTTTTTCTGTGTCTGTTCCTCCCATGCCTTACTTTCCAGACCCTCATCATCCTACTTTTCCTTTGGGCTGCCTCCACGTTGTCAGTGCTCCTGAAAGTCATTCCTTGAGAAATAGATGCCATCTCGTACATGCACACGAAGTCTTTTGGGGCAACCAGAGAATATAGATGGTCTATGTTAGAGCTCTAATTTCTGATCGTTTATTTGATTTTATAATTGTGGTCATGACTGTACCTTCATTGAGGCCTCCAATTAGAAATAATTTTTTATTGGATCTTACTGGAAAAGAAGTGTTAATCTCCTATTTGTGATAGAAATGTCTTGGCTAAAGAGGTCTTCTGTTTGTCTACCACATAGAAAGTCCGCTCCTGCTGCCTCTGCTCAGAGAGAGGACACCTCCAGTATGCCTGTCCAGCCCGCTACTGCTTAGACTGTTCTTTGCCTATGTCTTCCGGTCATAGATGTTTTGAAAGATCTTCATGGAGAAAACGATGTGCCCGATGTGATATGATAGGCCACTATGCTGATGTGAGTATCCTGCATAAAACCAGCTTTGGGGAGCAGTTTGTAGCTGTCCGTCAGCCTACCTCAAAGAACATTTACTCTGTACTGGATCGAATGATCGCCATATTCCTTTGGCCATTTATCAGTGCTCTAATATCTCAGAATGGTCTGGAAGCATCAACAAATATTATAAGCCCCTTTGCTTAATGGGTTATTCATGTAAAGACTGCAGTTTTTGTCTCTATTCATGCTTATTAGGTGAAAATATTTAGGCATGTCTCAGTAGTATACATGTGCCTATATGCCTGTATGAAGCATGTCTTGGTGCTGCTTACTGATGGCTCTCGCTGCTTTAGTAGTCTTAGTCTAAAAGGACAAGCCATTCAATACTTTAAATTCACTTGTTTCAGCATTTTCTTTAATTTGGAAAAAAATAATAATAAAAGTAATTTAGAAGGCATTTTAGTTTACATACAGCACAAAAAAAATTGATTTTGGATAGTGTTTTGGATCGTATTATAAATGTGTCTGGAGTTCTGGTCCCAGGAATTTCAGAGACCAGGCAGGTATTTCAGGTAAGTCAGCTTTGATGTAGAAAATACAATTTTGCATTCGATTACTCCTAACTCCTAATAACTGTCTCATTAAGTATCTGTCATTTTAGCTCTAAATATCATCTTTCTACATAGTAACATATGTTTATCTTCTATTACCAGCTAATCAGTACAAAGCCACTTTTCATTCTCATACCTAGGTGCCTATCCTAATTGGGTTAAGAGATGTGCTCTCATTTTTCTAAGCATCATTTACCTATTTTAGAAAATAATCATAAGTCTTTTTCCTTTAGTTTGTACTTCCTAAAGAGATGATACAAAACCATAAATGTTTTCTAATGTGTATGTATATGGGTATGCACTATAACCTTCTGGGCCCCAAAAAAACTGTTGAGAAGAACTTTGGAGTAAAAAAAAATTGGAATGTGATATTATGTTTCATACAAATAATATGCCAATTACAGATTTTAATTTTTTTAAGTTTTTTTTAAATCATTTTATTGGGGGCTCATACAACTCTTTAACAGAATCCATACATACATCCATTGTGTCAAGCACATTTGTACATTTGTTGCCCTCATCATTCTCAAAACATTTGCTCTCCACTTAAGCCCTTGGTATCAGCTCCTCATTTTAAAGTTTTTTTTTTAAAGAAAACAAATAGACTGTACTATACTGTACACTCTGCCCTATACCTCGATTTTTTTCCCCAATTAATTCTCTATAGTTCTATCTCCACATCAGCTCATAAAGATCTGCCTTCCTAATGGCTCACTTCTATTTCATAGTATGAGTGCAACCATTTACACACCCATTTCTTTAGATTTAGATTCTTTGCTGGTTGGTTGCTTGCTTGTTTGCTTGTTTAAAGCAAACAATGCCATAGTAGTATATGTAAAAGTGTTTCATTAAGTTAAATTCTATAAATGGAATTGTGTAAATAAGGAATACGTACATTTATATTTGAGTAAATTTGCCAAAGTACTCTTCTTGAAGGCTACACTGATGAATCCTCGCCCGGCCCTCACCCCGGCCATTACCACCAGTAGCAGTGTTGGAGAGTGCTCATTTCTTTTCACCTCCCACCAGACTGTTATTCATTGTTTAAAACTGTGACCAATCCGATCAAGAAGAAATGATGCCTTGGAGAATGGGTAGGAAAGAGGGAACCGATTACATGGAACTGTGTGAGACCTCCTCCCTGGGGGACAACCGAAAAGTGGATGAAGGGAGACGTCGGACAGGGCAAGATATGACAAAATACCCATTTATAAACTATCAAGGGCTCATGCGGGAGGGGGGAGCGGGGAGGGAGGGGAAAAATGAGGACCTAATGTCGGGGGTTTAAGTGGAGAGAAAATGTTTTGAGAAACGATGTACAAATGCGCTTTACAAAATTGATGTGTGTATGGATTGGGATAACAGTTGTATGAGCCCCTAATAAAATGTTAAAAAAAAAAGAAATGATGCCTTATTTTTTTAATTTCAGTTTTTTAGAACATTGAATCTGATCGAGTAGTTTGAATATTCTAATTCTTAAGGTAGAAGCTATAATTTCATCCCAAGGTAGTTTAAACTTAAACTTTTTAGATATTTACAAAGTCTTAAAAAATAATAAACCCTAAGCTGCCTTAGTTTTACACTATTGCTTTCTACATTAAGTTTTCAATTATAACCTTCTTAGAAACACTTTCCAGTTTGACATTTTGTTTAATGGTAGATATATTTTACTTTTTTCTCCCAAAGAGCTCTACAAATAGACCACTATTTTCCCATGATAAACAGAAGGGAACTAGACATTATGAGCAATTTTTAAGAATTGCTATAGTGCCAACTAGTTAAGAATGACTTGAAAAGGGTTTTGTAATCATCTGTGAGTTAAATCTATAGCCCATTCTTCTTAACTGAGTTTTGGCATCCAATGTGTGCTTAGGGCCCTCGTAGGCCAGAGGGTTACTTGGGCCACCAACTACAAAGTCAGCAGTGCAAACCCACGAGCAGCAGCTGTGCTGGCAAGAGATCAGGCTTCTGCTCCTCTAGAGACTGGTGGTCTGGGAAACCCACAGAGACAGTTCTTAGTCCTACAGGCTTGGAATGGACTTGATAGCTGTGAGTTTAGGGGCTTTTTTGGGTTAGAATGAATGCTAACCCCTTTTCTAAAATGGACTCAAGAATTAATATTACCAGTGAATATAAGATTTTTTGTTTTGTTTTAACTTTTTATTGTGATTTGAGTGAAGGTTTACAGAACAGATTAATTTTCCATTCAGTAACTCATGCACATCTTGTTCCATGTCATTGATTGCATTCCATTGTACGTATGCACCAAGTTTGTTTTCGCTATTGTGAGTAGTGCTTCGATGAACATGAGTGTGCAGGAATTTATTCAGGTCATGGCTCTTATTTTTCCAGTAGTGGGTTGCTGGCTCATACAGTTTACTGTCTCCAACTTCATAAATGTCATATTAACTTAAGAAGTAATAGTGTTCTGAGATTGATTGTGGTAATGATTGCACAACTCGTAATATATTTCAAACCATTGAATTGTATAGTGCATGAATTGTATGTCAATAAAAATGTTCAAAAAATAATAGTGTAACCATTTAAGTCAGATTTTTAATTGCAGTGGGAGAAAAATAGTGCATTCATGTATTTTACTTGAGTCCCTTTTTAAATATTCGGTGCTACAAAAGAGTTGCTCTCCTGAATATCAGTTATATACTAAAATATTTTAAGTAACTTAGTTTATTTTTGAAATTCATCCAGCCATAAAAAGAAATTAAGTCCTCATACATGCTACAGCTTGGATGAACCTTAAAAACATGCTGAGATGTCAGGCACGAAAGGGCAAATATTGAAGAGGGTAAGTCAGAAAGTACTGCAACAAAATTACAGAAACCTGTATTAAATAAAAACATGAATTTGTGAAGCAATTTCTCAGTATGTCCTCCATTGCGGGAGCTTTGAAGGTTCATGAAGAAGATTCTTTTACCTTTTAATTCTATTTCTCCAGGGACTTTTAGAATGCCCACTTGTGCCTTTCTGAAGACAATATTTCCATCACTCTAATTCTTCCCGGAAGGGTTCTGTACTCTTTGATGTATAGCACAGTAAAATGGCTGCTATGGTGTCCTCAAGGGACATGGACTACTTTGAGATTTGGGAACAAAAAAGAAATCGGAGTGCAAGCTCGGGGCTCTAGGATGGATGGGATATGGCTTCCCAATGCGGTTCTTGTAGGTCAGCCTTTGCAGCCCTCCAAAATTGAATAGTAGGTGCCGTGTCATGATGGCGGTGGCGGGATTTCTCCAGGCAACCTGCCTGGGTATTTTTCTTCATCAGTGCAGTTTTCAATCTTCTTAAAAACTTCTTCCCAATAAGCCCCTGTGATTGGCTTCAAGAAAAATAAACCCCTGTGATTTTTCTTCAAGAAAAATCTGTATAATCTACCCCTTTTGGATCCCCCCCAAACGGTGTCTATCTCTTGTCTTAAATTTAACAATGCCAGCAAATTACTGGAGGATTCTGAAGAAATAGATGATGTAGCCAAGCCATTGTTCATTTGTGAATTTGATGGGAAGAAAGGGAATAAGATTAGCAGCAATGAACAGTGAAACTAGGAAAGCACAGAGTACATATCTGAACTAAACGTAGATTTTAGGACTAATTCTTGGAAAGCAATTAGAATTTTTAAATTACAGTATGTGGTTATTGTTGTGTGCTATCAAGTTAATTCCAATTCGTAGCCCCCTGTGTGACAGAGTAGGACTGTCCCCAGGGGGTTCCTAGGCCGCCATCTCTACAGGAGTAGGTCGCCAGGTCTTTTCTCCCACAGAGCAGCTGTGGGGTGCACACTGGCCAAGCTCTTCAACCACTATGCCACCAAGGGCTAAATCTTTTGTGCAGGGAAAAGAAAAAACTAAATACATGCTAAATTTCTATGTCAGATTGCCGAGATAATTATGAATGTTCTATACCAAGAAATATCCCACTACCATCGAGTCGTTTCCAATTCATAGTGGCAGGGTAGAACTGCCTGTAGGGGTTTCCATTCCATGGCTTCTCATGGGAGCAGAAAGCCTCAGCTTTCTCCTGCAGAGCAGCTGGTGTTTCTGAACTGCTGACCTTGTTGCTAACACCCCAGTACATGACCACTAGGCCACCAAGACTCCTCATATATAAAATAGTAGCTTAGTGTCCACTTTCCCTATAAAATAGATATTAATATTTGCCATTTGGTGTGGCCTCAGGATTGGAGGAAGAAGGCTTATTAACAACCTGCAGTATATAGATGACACAACCTTGTTGAAAGTGAGGAGGAATTGAATGAAGCACTTGCTAATCAAAATCAAGGATTATAAGCTTCATCATGGATGACAACTCAATGTAAGGAAGACCAAAATCCTCACAACTGGACCAATAGCATCATTATAAATGGAGAAAAGGTTGAAGTTGTCAAGGATTTTATTG